AAAAAAAAGGAAAATGAGGGAAGATTTTTTTAACTAAATTTTCAGCATGAAAAAAATGAAAAAACTTTCTAAAAAGCATTCGATAAAACAAAAAAATTTTTCATTAAATAATAAATTTTCTTGTTAAAACAAATACTTAATTCAATTTATTTTTTACTCACTGTTGGGGTCGCAATCGCATCAAAGAAAGCACCGAATAAATAAAAAATAAACAAACGATCGAATCAAAAACACATTCATGTTTTATTTTTAATGTAAAAAAAAAAACTTTTTCTTTTCCGCTTTGACGAAAAAACGATTGAAAACTAACACAACTTTTTTTAATTTCCAAAAATATTCAACACCAAATTCCCAGATTTTAAACATAATTTGATCAAAAGCGAAAAAAACTTAAATTTTGACAGTATTTACATTAAGTAGATCTATTTTTTTGTAGAACATTTATGTAAAAATATCAAGCGTCCAACACTATGAAGGCCCCGTCCCCCAAAAAAATATCACGTAGAGATATCGCCCACGAAAAAAATAATACTATTATTTTCTTAATTTTTCTAAAGTACTCCCCGGGTTAAATTTAAAAGGCATTGCCTAGGTTTTTTTTAATTTTTGTTAATTTTTTGTTTTTTAATCAATGTTTATCTTTCAAAGTAGATTTACATATTTACAAATGTACTTAAGATCTTTTTCCATAAAACTGTTAAAATTCATTTTTTTAGAATAAAAATTAAAATTATTTTAAACACACAACCATCACATCACACACATAACCCTTAATATAAAATAAAAAATAAAAAAATAAAATTAAAAATAAGAAATAATAAAAATTATTATTATTATTACTATTTTTTTTTATTATTTTTATATTTGCTTCGTCTTTTTGTAACATTATCAAAATGGGGTTTTCTGTATCATTAATTTGGGGAAGGTTTTTAAATCGCAAAATTCCTTTTTAAAAAATTTTTATAGCATTTTTCCACTTGGCCAAATACAAATTTTTTGAAAGTTTCCCTTGGCCCGGGAATTGCCGAAAAAATATTTTAACAACCCGTGCAATAAAAATAAACCATGCTTTTAAGAACTTTGCTTTCCCCAAATTCATTAAATCCTCCCAATCTCCCCTTTTTAAATTCATCACGTCAGGAATCGTTATAAAAATTTAAAAGCAAAAAGGAAAAATTAAGTTTAAATTTTTTATAACGAATTCAACAAAAATTAAAATTTTTTAATAAAATACAATTAAAAAAAAAAAACAACAACAAAAAAAAACCAGCAAAAAAGGGGCATAAATAAAAACACACACCTCGTTTTTGAACATTTAGAAATTTAAAAAGGGGCAAAATTTTTAAAAAAAAAATGGCAGTTTGACAATATTTTTTCAATACAAAAAACAAAAACATTAAAAAGTTCGGGTTTTCAATTAAATTATTGCCTAAATATATCTTTTTGACGAGGACTATATAAAGATTTACAACGTTAAAAAAAACCCCGTTGAAAAAGAAACCTTTTTTTTTGATAGGTTAAAAAAAAATCAAACAGTGTTTTAGATTTACGGCGATGAACCCACCTAAAAAAAAATTTGGGCCCCTGTAAAAAAAAAGGGGCCCTTTACTGAAAATTTTCTTTTAGTTTTTCCCCAGATTTTTCAAAAGTACTTTTTTACTTAAAAAATTTAATTTTTCAATTAATATAAACTTGAAAATATTTTAAAGCTCAGAAAGGCATGTCTTTCAACACAAACAATGGAAACACTTTTTACCCACAATAAATAGAAAGGAAGAAAACAAGACGGGCAAAATAAAAAACTGTTTTTACAATATTCTTTTGTACACATTGAAGAAAAATTTTTTGGGGCTTAAAAAAAACATTAGATGAAATTAAAAAAGGAAAAATTTGTTTAAACAAAAAATGCCCAAAATTTCCTTAAAATTGAAAAAACCCGAAGAAAAAGCGGGCCCCAAATTAAAATATTTTTTCGCGCAGGAATTTTGTCTCCCCCCAGGTCTGAAAAAAATGAAAAGATTTTTAAAAAAAATCTAATGAATCGTTTACTTCTTTTTCATCATTTTTTTTGTTTTAACAATTAATATCGAAATTTAAAGGTAAATAAAAAGACAGGGGAACACAAATAAAATTTACTTTCTCCAAAAAGTAAAAATAATTAGTTTTGGGGAAAAACAATATAAAATTAAAAAAAATATCGATAAATCAAACCATTTGTTTAACTTTGCAATTTTTTGTTTCGTTCTTACAACTCAACCATTTTAATGATAAAAAAAATTATTTTTACAAATTTTAAAAAATGGAACCCTAAAAAAAGATAAAAAACGTTGGCTCCTAAAAATACATGTACGACAAAATTTACAATCGGGGTGAAAATTTTTTTTTTTAAAAAGAATGGGTCATTCTACAATAAAGAGTATCATCTAAAGAATTAATTTTTCCTAATATAGGGATACAAAAGGGGTTTTGGGGGTTAAAGCTTCCCGCACCTACCCATAGAGACATACGAAAATAAACCCACTAAAACATCTACAAAAGAAACAAGAAACAAATAATAAAACATAAAAAACTGTCAATTTTTAATAAATCTAAATTATTTTCTTTTTTGCTTTGTGATCAAGAATTGACTTTAAAACCAATAAATTTAGGAAATCCGGAAAGACACCACATTTTTCCCGGCAAAAAAAAAACGAGCTAAAATTTAGCGAATTTAAATTTTCAAAGAAAAACAATCCCCAACCTGGGCCCCTAAGATTATTTGATATTTTTTTGACTCTTTTTTTTAAAAAAAAAACAACCTTTTAGACTAAAATAAACAACAGTTTTTTATTGTGATAGGCCATCCCGTTTTTTTACCCCCCCACACAAAAAGTAAATTAATTTTTACATAAATTTTAAATCACATGGTTTGCACCTGTCAAAGTATATACAAAAAACGTCTAAAAAGGGCGGGGCGCGAATGTTTTAATGTAGCACATAATTATATAGATTTACGATCAGGGAATGGGAAAGCTTTTTGGAGATTTAATCTTTTAAAGGAACTCCACAGGGGCCACAAAAACAAAATTTTTAATTTTTACATAAATCCCAAAAAACTAAAAAAAGAAAAACAAAATCAATTTTTAAATATCTCAGAAAAAAATTTAAAAAAGTTTTTTTGTTTTAAAATCTAAGCCCGATTTAAATAAAAAGAACGTTGCAAGCTTTTCAATTTTAAGTCATTTTTCCATAATTAGAATAATTATTCTGGTACATTGGAAAGAGAAAATGGTCTGAAATTTTGAACAGTAGTTATTGGTCTAGAGTTACATCGAATGGGACATTAATCGCGAAAAATAATTTCTAGTCCCTTCATGTCAAAATAAAACCTCAATGGAGTCCCTTTAAATCATGACTTTGTTTTATATAAATAGTATATGCTGAAGCTTACTTGTAATACATGCGCGGTGCACCTTTAATATTTACTGACTGGAATACCTGAAAACAAAATAGAAAAAGACATAACTATATCTAAGAACAGTAAATAATGCTAGACTTCTTTTCAATACCTCTACTAAGCAAATAATTATTTTTTATTTTTGTAATTTGGCAGTCAAGTCTAATCAACCTAACTTTGTTTCCGCGCTTTTTTATGCATTCAAATGTATTGATAATGTTAAATGTGTCTTCATTAATGAATTATCTATATGAATAGGATATTATATCATTTGCTCGTTATTTTACGGAAAAAGACATTTTGACAATACATTTGATCTCTAGGTTCATTTCAACAAAACATTGACACTTTAATTATGTCAAAACCTATAATAAACCTATAATTGATCTCCCATAATTTTCCAAGAAGGATACTTCAATCTAATGAATTATTAAAGTTTAAAGGTCGATTCTATATGCATTTTTAAAAAGAAACATCGTCGATAATATAATCTTTTTTCATACAGACATCTACATATTATATAAATCACAAACGGATGTAAATTTGGCGTCACATTAAAAATTCCGTCATCAAGTTTGATCCCATTTGCATTTTTGAAGAAGACAACTTAAAAACATTCGCGCTGTGCTTGTCAAGCCTCATTTAAAACCAATGCATTTCATGTCAACATTTAAACATTTAATAAAATTTTAACTTGTCAAAAATATTTTAAGCGCGTGAATGAAATATTTCATCTAATTAAGACATTAACCTACATATTAAAAAGTTATGAAAGTGATTACATTTATTAATAATTATTTATAATTATGTATATAGAAAGACAGTTACAGTTATTGAACATTGAGTTTTATTATCCCCAGTTTCTTGTTTATATTCGATTCTGTTAATCGATCATACACGGACAAGACCAGTGATGAATGAATAAAATAGCTATAAACAATATTCAATGTAAAGGCTGACAATCTGGACGGATAAACACGTCAACATTGTTAACATCATTGTAATTAGTATCGACATTCAACATAAGACACATTGTCAAGTTATTCACCTGCCGTATTTTAGTCAGTTACCAACGATAGCCAGTATCAATTACTAGTATTTGCGCAGTTATGATAATTATAGAGGATATTGAATGAGTGTAGGTTTAATACTGAATTTATTGAACGAGTTGAATAAAATTATATTATGCGAGCCTCTGGCGAGCAGAAAATTATTTTATTCCACGAGTTAAATAAATTTAGTAATGAACTTACACAAATTTAATATTCTATTTATCACATATTAAAAATAAAGACCATTTGAAGTGATAATGTAACATTTTTCATTGACTCGCCAATAGTATAACGCCAACATTTGGCGCGCCTTAACGCTATGTTTATATAACGCTAATGACGTTACGTTAAAATAAATGCACGGTCGCGCAATACCAGTTTTACGGAGTCGCAAAATCAGCACGGGTATGATACGTTTGTAATTTATATATCTGCATATGTCTGTAAGAACATTGCATATATGTTTTTTCGTTTTTTTGTATATGATTGTCTTTCAAAGTAACGCAAAAAAATTCAAAAAGTGTACAAAGATTTAAAAATGCCTCGAGAAGCGTTAGTGAACCTTGACACAAAATAAGTTATTTAAAAAAAACCCCAAAGCTTACATAGAATAAGTAAATGTTCAAGGAATGCGAAGAGGGATGAGTAAAGCTAGAAACAAGAATACTTACAGGAATAACATAATCATTTGGCGTCTCGATCAAGATTTTCTTTCTTATGGGGAGTTTCGGTGGCTTATCCGCAATGTTGTCAACTGTGCTCCTTAACGTTCCTCTCTCTGAGGCAAATGTTATTATCAATTTAGTGATCATTCAAAGATGACAATGCAGGTCTATTAACAGATATACAAGAAACGTGAATATATTCTTAGTAAGTTTGTTAACAAGGAGGTTACTGTCGCTATTTAAATGTTTTCCGTATAAAGGTGTTTAAAGGAAGGGTTTGTTCTTGTGTTTACCGAATACCATAACATTGATAAAACTGTAATGAAAATATGTTTCAAAATTATTCTTAAATCTTTATTTGTATATTATTGATCAAAATCTCCATTTAGATTTTATAAGAAAATTGATAAAACGCGATTGATAAAGTGCATGTTAGAAAAAATACTCACCCTTTTCTGTAAGAAAATGAGGTATTTGAGAAAACGCAGCTGGAGTCGCGTTTACCTTCTCAGGGGACCCACCACGAATTGTAGAAAGTGCCGAAACCCTGCCTGTCACAGGTGCAGTCACTGGTCGGGCTAGCGTCCCTCCATGCGTTTTTGTTGCAGATGATCCTTGTGCGTCTGGACAAGGTGTTGAATGATATCTTGCAAAACGTTCTCCAGGTCGTACCAAAGCAGACTGAGCACGTTTTCTTATATTTTCATAACGTTTCTGTTTTTCTAATTGTTCTGTATATTTAAAATACATGTACATGTACATTTAAAATCGAAATAATTTGCCTGTTATAAACAATGCTGAATGCTGAACATAGTTAGTTTAATACAAAGAAAAAACGAGTTTTAAGTATTTTGAAAATGAATTAAACAAGAACAACTATGATAGAACTAGATTAATGAATTTATTTTCCGTCAGAGTTCAAGTTTCTCAAAATATCAAACACATTTTGTAACCATTTCTTTATTTTGTAAGGAATACGTTGGAACAGTTTTACCGAAAAAGTCATGAGCCGAACTTGGTCGGGAGACGAATTTTCTTATAGCATTTCCATAATCAGTTCGACGTTTTAAAGACATTCTGTTATTGGCTGCCATGTTTGTCGTTCCACAGCGGAAGATTTCAGAAGAAGTTGATTGCTGGCTTGTTCGGGACGTACATGTTGTAGGTCGACTTCCATGGTCCGTCACTGTCGGCTCTTTATGGCTACTCTCTGAAACCAATGAAGGTTTTTATACAGATATTTTGTAA